ACAGGAGCTGGGGAGGAAACAGGAGCTCACCCTGTTTAGCACGAAGGCTGGACTCGAACCGCTGAAGCATCGACCATTTCTGGCCGGCAACTTTGAGCGTCATTAAGCCGCTCTGCCACCTAGACACTCACAAACTGGTGTGAATGTTTATGAGGTCATAATTGGCTTTTCAATCGAATGGCTGGTTTTTCTGGCAGTTTTAGCTTGCCTCAGGAAGACTATCCCTGCCCCTCCAAAGGACAAATGCTCTATTTTCTGTAACATTATCAAGCTTCGTGGAACTAGAAGGGCATCTAATACAATCTCCTGTTTTGATAGGTGGATAATCCTCACAATTCAGGTTGGCCATGAAGAATACAGCTCTTTTTAAGAATCAGGGGCATATTCAAAAGACGAATGAGTCACCAATATTTTGCAGACTACAATCCAGAGCTAGTCAAAATAAAAAGAATGCCAGGGATCCATAAACACAGGCAAGGCAAGCAGTGCTATATCAACATGTACAGTACCGACAGGAGGCCTGGATTACTCAAGGCTCATTTAATTTGGCCAATCCCACAGATTCTCAGTGGAGATTCACTGACCCCTGCCATTCATTGCAATATTACTTACAGTTAGTTTTGGTCCATAAATTACCAAATACATCTGCAATCTACTGCTTTCTATTTTTTACTTTAACTGCTGGATTTTCTATTTCCAAAAAAGGGGAGGCCAACAAATATTGGCCTTTTTCTACTTCCTAGCAAATTTTGGTGCAGGTTAATGCTACTTTTGTACCTGATAGGATGCCTTTGAATGTCTGCAATTTATTTTCACACACCATCTGAAGCCTGGTGCAGACACAATCTAAACACAGTCCATATTTTATTTACCCTGGTTTTTTTTCCTTGGATTTTTAACCATTATATCTCATGAGCAATTCTTGGAAACTCAAAAGCTGGCAAACTATTTTGTGTACCTTGAGGACTGCTTTAATATGACAAGTTTATTTTCAGATGCATTTTTGATGTGTTCCAATTATCATCTTCTGTCCAAGGACATGTCTTAGCCTAAGTTTGCCTAAGTTGACATCTTCAGATCTTTTCATGTTGTTTGCTTCAGTTAGCTCTTGGAACCTGGATTTGCTTTTTCTTCATCTATGGGACAATCAGGATTGTCCTGTCCGCGTATTGCCAGGAATGAATATCTCAGCCCTCCTGCCATGCTAGAGGAGGAAAGAAAAGAACAGACACAGTCACAAAACTATTATCTCTGTTGAGACTGTGGTATGCTTTCAAAACTCACTTACCTGATATTGAGTCCAATGAAGTTCAACATATTAAACATGTAATCTCCACCAAACAGCATGCCAATATAAGCAATGGACACATTCTATAAAGAAAAAGCAGTGTGTGTAATTGCTACAGATACCCACTATGGTAAGCTATAAAGCATGGTTAGCACAAATACATCCACTGACTTCTCTCTCCTGAGGGGCTTGGCTACTGAATCACAATTCCTCATTTCTTTATTGTTAATGAGAACATTTGAACCTAGAACATTTGCTACTCCTATCTACAATTAAATATAAAAAGTAACCATGGCTTGCTTATACCTACTTTCAATGTTTCATCCCATATGAAAGCAGCATGTGCTGCATTGGGTAACACACTTGTAAACAAGCAACAGATGAGTGAATTGGTAGAGAAAGAGGCACTAGGTACATTGCTACATACCAAGCCTGGTGGTTTACCATGTCATGCAAATCTTATCTCAGTATCCTAATAGAACATAAGGCAAGAACTATGAAGGAACAACCCTGATCTTGCATGATTTCATGGGTAGCGGAAGATGGAAAGTACAGTCAGGTCCAGAAATATTGGGACATCGACACAATTCTAACATCTTTGGCTC